TAAACATCCCCAACTCTTTCAGCCTTTCGTCCTATAAGACTTGGATTCCAACCCTCTCACCATCCTGGTTGCCCTCTTCTGGACACGCTCGAGCTTGTCAACACCCTTCCTAAAATGGGGTGCCCAAAACTGGACATGGGACTCCAGGTGAGGCCTGACCTGTTGTCTTTCAGGTGAGAAGCCGGCCAAGCCGAAAAAGGCCGCCCCGCAGAACAAGAAGAAAAAGAAGAAGAAGGGCTCGGACGACGAGGCCTTTGAAGACAGCGACGACGGGGATTTCGAGGGCCAGGAGGTGGACTACATGTCTGATGGGTCCAGGTAGGCTTCCCAGCTGTGGGGGGAGAAGCAGGGGGTCTCTCCTCAAAAATGAGGTTTCTGGCATGGCTCTTTGGGAGGTGGGGCTTTTAAGAGCCAGTTTGGTGTAGTGGTTAAGTGCGCAGACTCTAATTCTGGGAGAACCAGGTTTGATTCCCCACTCTTCCTCCACTTGCAGCTGCGAGTGTGACCTTGGGTCAGTCACAAGTTCTGTCAGAGCTGTTCTCTCAAGCGCAGTCCTCGAAAGAGCTCTCTCAGCCCCACCTACCTCCCAGGGTGTCTGTTGTGGGGAGGGGGAGGGAAAGGAGTTTATAAGCGGCTCTGAGACACCTTTGGGTAGTGGGCAGGATATAAATCCAATCTCCTCCTCCTCCTCTTCTTCTCTTCTTCTTCTGTTCTTAACTGGGGACTGGGGGGGACACAAAATTTTGGGGGAGGACAACGTTAAGGGGGAAGGCCACGGCCTCTATGCCCTGTTCGCCCTCCAGAGGAAAGCCAGTTTGGTTTCATGGTGAAGTGCGCGGACTCTAATCTGGGAGAACCGGGTTTGATTCCCCACTCCTCCTCCACTTGCAGCTGCTGGTGTGACCTTGTGTCAGTTACAAGTTTTCTCAGAGCTGTTCTCTCAAGAGCAGTCCTCGAGAGAGCTCCCTCAGCCCCACCGACCTCACAGGGTGTCTGTTGTGGGGAGGGGAAGGGAAAGGAGATTGCAAGCTGCTCTGAAACTCCTTTGGGTAGTGAAGGGCAGGGTAGAAATCCAATCTCCTCCTCCTCTTCTTCTTCTTCTTCTTCTTCATCATCATCATCATCAATGGGGCAGGGCCCCGAAATGCCCCGCTGTAGCTATGGGCCTGGGCTTTCGAACTCCCAGAGCCTCTCTACTCCTTGACCAGCTCTCTCCTCCTCTGTTTTCTCGCTCACCCGCCTTCTGCTCTCTCTTTCATTGCAGCAGCTCCATGGAGGAAATGGGAGGCAAACCCAAAGCGGCCAAAGAGGAAGACGTCCCGAAAGGTGAGCCCCCCTGAGGAGTGTGCAGGCCGGAGAATCCAGACCGCGACAGGGCCAAGATCCTCCGCAGGACGGGCCCCTGGCAGCTGACTCACTTTTTGTTTCCTCTGTAGAACGCCTGGATCTGTTTGTGTTCTTTTTGGTTAATACTCCATATACAATCTTGGTTTGAGTCCTCCTTCTGCCCTCCTGAATTGTTTAGGGACGATCCGCGTCCCAAGCGTCTCCTCACTTTAGGGCCAGTTGAGCTGTCCTGGGTTTTCGCAAAGAATTTCGCGAGGTGTCATTTGGTGAGGACCAATGCTCCCTCTAAGCTGCGCAGTCTTGTGAGCGACAATCATATTTTGTGAGCGACTGGCATTGAAGTTATGAGCAAGCGATTTGTCTGCTGCATAGATGAGCTTGCTCTGGAGCCGTCCTTCCTGAGCTCAGACAAAAACGTGTGAGCCGGAGGCTTAAAAAACTGTGAGCTGGCTCTCACTCACTCGGCTTAGAGGGAATACTTGTGAGGACACCCCTCCTCTGAACTGCATCGGGGGGGGAGTGGTCAAGTTGGGGTTTCCAAGGCAAGAGAGGAAGAGAGGTGCTTGTCAGGCTTCTTAGTCAGGTCATACCACACAGGGCTTCATAAGAAGATAACTGTTTATTAGGGGATCCGGTACTAAAGAACACGTGTACAGCTTGTGTCAGGAATGGCCTCTGACTTATAGTGAAATCAAACATTCCCCCTGTAAGCATAAGCCAATGGATATCTCTCTCGCGCGTGGGGCAAAACAAGCGGGCAGAGCAGAGAAGCCGTTAACTTTCCCAGCCGTGTAAACTGCACCTGGGACATCTACAAGGTCAAGCGTAAGATAGAGCACAATAGCTGAGCAGGAGAGAGCTGAGAACGAGAAGGAGGGTACCCCTCTACATTCCAGAACTATGACAGGGCTACCTGACACTACGGGGTTTTTTACTATTTTGCAGCAACAGAGTAACATGGCCGACTCCTCTGGACTTATTCCCTGAGAGTAGCAGTCTACACTTCCTTTTATCCGTTCTAACCCGAATGCTCAGCAATTTCATGGAGTGCCCACAAGTTCTTGCATTGTGAGAAAGGGAGAAAAGGACCTCTTTCTCGACCTGCTGTATCCCATGCATAATCTTATAGACCTCGATCGTGTCACCCCTCAGCCGTCGTTTCTCAGGCCGGCCTGGGCCCTCCAGGTGGTGGTTAAGCCCGTTTGGGACAGCAGTGTAGTTGACTCCCTTGATACAGCTGTTCGCACATTCTTAGCCCTTAGAGCGTCACACTAGGATCCGGGGGACCCAGCTGCGAACCCCCCCAGTCTGCTGTGGGAGCCGGCTGGGTGACCCTGGGGCTAGTCACGTGCTCTCAGCCTCCCCTACCTCACAGGCTCGTAGTGAGGATTAAATGGAGTGGGGGAGAGCAGTGTGAAAAGCAGCTTCGGGTCCCCAGTTGGAGAAGCGCAAGGATATAAATATATGTGAATAAATAGAAAGAAACAGGCCGTCCAGGGGTTGCCTGTCATGAAGAAGAGAAGAGAGTGTATTTATACCCCCGCCCGTCACTACCCGAAGGAGTCTCAGAGCGGCTCACAAATCTCCTCTCCCTTCCCCTCCCCACAACAGAGGTCGGTGGGGCTGAGAGAGCTCTTTCAAGGACAGCCCTTGAGAGAACAGCTCTGAGAGAACGCGTGACTGACCCAAGGCCACACCAGCGGCTGCAAGTGGAGGAGGAGTGGGGAATCAAACCCAGTTCTCTCACCAAACTGGATTTCCTCTGGAGGGTGAACAACAGGGCATAGAGACCGTGGCCTTCCCCCTTAACACTGTCCTCCCCCAAAATTTTGTCCCCCCCCCCCAAGTCCCCAGTTAAGAACAGAAGAAGAACAGGAGGAGATTGGATTTATATCCTGCCCTTCACTACCCAGAGGTGTCTCAGAGCAGCTTACAAGCTCCTTTCCCTTCCCCTCCCCACAACAGACACCCTGGGAGGTAGGTGGGGCTGAGAGAGCTCTTTCCAGAACTGCCCCTGAGAGAACAGCTCGGAGAGAACTCGTGACTGACCCAAGGCCACACCAGCAGCCGCATGTGGAAAAATCAAACCCGGTTCTCCCAGTTTAGAGTCCGCGCTCTTAACCACGACACCAAACTGGCTCTCTGGAGATTGGGGGGCAGGAAGGTGGCGGCGGTGGAAGCGTAGGCACCTGGGCTCTCTGATCTGAGCGCTTTCTCATTCAGCGGGTCGTGCCAAGCGAGAGCTGGGGAACCAGCCCCGCAGGCTTGGCGGTCTGTCACCGGGAACCCCCACAGTCTTTGCTGTCTCCTTCATTCGAAGGAGAGGCTCTACGGGGAAAGGAGTTCTGGGGGGAGGTTTCCCATTTCTCGCGCCCAGAGTCGCGTCGGGTGGCCTCTCAGGGGCAGGGCGAGCGTCCCCAGCTCTGGACAGGTGAAAGAAACCCCTCCCCGCCAGGAGGAGAGTCCGCCGCCTGACCCCTCCCGGATCCCTTCTCGCACCGCAGGGATCGACGAAGCGAGCGAGAGCAGCGAGGAGAGCGAAGAGGAGAAGCCCGTGGAGGAGGAGAAGGAGGAGGAGGAGGAGAAGAAGGCCCCCACCCCGCAGGATAAGAAGAAAAAGAAAGGTAGGCGGGGCAGGCGACTGGCGGGGAGGCTGGAGTCAGGCTCGGGGAGGGGAGGGACAGAGGGACAGAGGGAGGGAGGCCTCGTCGCCCACCACGGGAGGGCAGGGCGTTCAGCTTCCCCGGATCTGGGATCTCAGTCATTTAACAAGGAATAGTCAAGTTTCTAGCCCTTCAGGCTGCAAAGGTGTATTTGGGAGTGCTCGGGCAACGCCTGCTGGAAGAGGAGTTGGAAGCACCCTCCGCAGTTACTTCCCTCCCCTCGAATGGGGGGTGGCGGAAAGGGCCTTCAAGTCGTGGCAGACTTTTGGAGACCCCGCAGGGTTTGCGAGGCAAAAGACGGGCAGAGGTGGCTTTGTCGTCGCCTGCCTCTGCGTAGCAACCCCGGACTTCCTCGGGGGTCTCCCCTCCAAGGACTGGCCAGAACCAAGCCGGCTTAGCTTCCAAGATCAGATTAATCTGGCCCACCCAGGTCAAGGCAAGAGATGTCCAGAGGTGGGTTTTGCCCTTGCCTGCCTCTGCATAGCGACCCCGGACTTCCTGGGCGGTCTCCCATCCAAGGACTAACCGGGGCCGACCCTGCTTAGCTTCCGAGATCGGATGGGATCGGACCAGCCCGGGCCAATCCAGGTCAGGGTCTCTCCATGAGTTGCAAGAAGCAGAATTTTGAATGCTGTCGATCAGCGTAACGCTTTTGAGTGGCAGAACTGGGCTTTCCGGAGCACAGGATTTCTCCCGTTTTAGCGTGCGTCGTCGTGGCTGGCTGGGTCGAGGCGCCGGTGCAGTCGCTGGCGGGCAGCCAGGTGGAAGCGGCAGGCGCTGGAGTGTCACAGGGCGTTGAGCGGCTGAGTGGCGCACCTTCAGTAGGGGTGGGCCCAGAAAGGTCGTGATGGGAGGTGGGAACTGGCCCTTCCAGAGTCCAGGTGGTCCAAGGGGGTCCCCTCTGTGCTACCTGGGAGTGGCTTGTCTCCGTGAAGGCGGCCACGCCCAGGGTGAGTTTTTGTTGAGCAGAGAGGTCCATCCGTGGCTCTTAGCCACAAGGTATAGATGGAACACTCTGTCTGGGGCAAGGGATGCTCTGTATTCTTGGTGCTTGGAGGGGGCAACAGTGGGAGGGCTCCTAGTGTCCTGGCCCCACTGATGGACCTCCTGATGGCACCTGGTATTTTTTGGCCACTGTGTGACAGAGAGTTGGACCATTGGCCTGATCCAACAGGGCTTCTCTCGTCTGTTCTTATGTCTGGGGCAGTGATGCTCTGTCTTCTTGGTGCTGGGGGGGGGCAACTGTGGGAGGGCTCCTGGAGTTCTGGCCCCACTGCTGGACCTCCTGGTGGCGCCTGGTTGGCCACTGTGTGACACAGAATGTCGGACTGGATGAGCCACTGGCCTGGTCCAACAGGGCTTCTCTTATGTCGGGTCTGCTTTTCAGACACGAGCGACGAGTCGGAGACCTCAGAAGACAGCGACATCGAGAGCGAGGCGTCTTCCGCACTCTTCATGATGGTAACACTGCATGAGAGTCTGGGGGGGGCGTCTAGGCGTGGGGCTCAGCCCCTCCGAGACCCGGTTGCTGTGCGGCCAGATGAGTGCTTGTCACTGAGCTGCAGAATGTGTATCTGACTGTAAGGGGCGCCCCAGTGCGGTGTAGAGCATCAGGCTAGGCCCTGAGAGGCCTGTGTTCGAATTCGGGCTCTAAAAATCTGGACACACACGACCCAGTCCGTTAAACAAGTATAAAGCCAACAGTCGTGATAGTCTGACCCACAATCAAACAGTCATAAGACTTACAAAGAATGCTGTTTATGTATTGCAATCTAAAGCACTACAACATGATACTCAGCTCAATAGAAAATCCTTGAACCAAGGTACATCATCAACGTCGTCTCCGGATTACATAACGACGTTTCAAAAAATGGATCTTCTTCAGGAGAAGAAGCTGTTCTCTCTAGTAGAAACATAGCAGCATATTTTGAGCCTGGATGTTAATTGAGATCAGCGTCCTATCTGAATTTAATATTCTTAAGACATGTTGTCTAATATTTATGAAACTGAGAGCTTTGGCACCACTATAATATCTCCTGAAGAAGATCCATGTTTTGAAACGTTGTTATGTAATCCGGAGATGACGTTGATTATGTACCACACCTTAAAAAGGATATTATAGCTTTGGAAAAAGTGCAGAAAAGGGCAACTCGAATGATAAAAGGGTTGGAACACTTTCCCTATGAGGAAAGGTTAAGGCGCTTAGGGCTCTTTAGCTTGGAGAAACGACAACTGAGGGGAGATTGAGGTTTATAAGATTATGCATGGGAAAGAGCAGGTAGAGAAAGAGGTACTTTTCTCCCTTTCTCACAATACAAGAACTCGTGGGCACTCCATAAAATTGCTGAGCGGTCGGGTCAGAACGGATAAAAGGAAGTACTTCTTCACCCAAAGAGTGCTTAACACATGGAACTCACTGCCACAGGAGGTGGCAGCGGCTACAAGCAGGGACGGCTTCAAGAGCGAATTAGGTAAGCATATGGAGCAGAGGTCCATCAGTGGCTATTAGCCACAAGGTATAGATAGGGACTCTCTGTCTGGGGCAAGGGATGCTGTGTATTCTTGGTGCTTGGGGGGGGGGCAACAGTGGGAGGGCTTCTAGTGTCCTGGCCCCACTGCTGGGCCTCCTGAGGGCACCTGGTATTTCTGGCCACTGTGTGACACAGAGTGTTGGACTGGATGGGCCTTTGGCCTGATCCAACACTGGCTTCTCTTATGTTCTTATGTTCTTACCTTGGTTCAAGGATTTTCTATTGGGTTGTGTATCATGTTGTAGTGCTTTAGATTGCAGTACATAAACAGCATTCTTTATAAGTCTTATGACTGTTTGATTGTGGGTCAGACCATCACGACTGTTGGCTTTATACTTGTTTAACCAATTCGTGCTCTGCCACGGAGGCTCACTGGGAGACCTTTGGGCCAACAACACCCTCACCGTGTCATCAGCCTCACAGGGTGGTTGTGAGAGGAGAGGAGAAGGATGCAAGCTGTTCTGGGTCCCCCCTGGGCAGAATGGGAGGGTAGAAATGAAGTCAATCAGTAACCGGAGCCCCGTTCACCGGGAGGGAGCGGGGATCTTAACGGAGCCTCCCTCTGTAGAAAAAGAAGACGCCTCCGAAGAAGGAACGGAAGGGCTCTGCCAGCAGCTCCCAGGGCAACAGCCGCCCGGGGACGCCCAGCGTGGACTCCGGCAGCACCTCCTCGACCCTGCGGGCGGCAGCCACCAAACTGGAGCAAGGTACTGCCCAAACACTTTTCTCCCTCCGTCCTCACTCCTCTCCCCCTCCATCCCTTCCTGCTGCTGGCAGTAGATACGGAATCCAAGTCTTGCCAAAAGGAAACCCTCAAATATTGGGGAACCGAGTTCGAGTCTCCAGCGGCACCTTTAAGACCGACACATTTAATTCTGGGCACGCTTCTTCCGATACATCGAAGTCACCGACTTGGTTGGCAGGAAGGGCTAGTTGGAGTCAATATGCATAACTTGAGCAGGTGTATAGCTAAGGTTGGATTAAAGCAGTTGAGGAGACCTGCAAAGAGCAGCAAATCAGCAATACAGATAATAGACTGAATAATAGGCTGCAATGCAAGAACTCACGTGCTTGAATAGGCTGAAAGCATTGGGTATGTTTAGCCAGGGAAAGAGAAGGCTTAGAGGCGACATGATTGCAGTCTTCAAGTATCTGAAGGGCTGTCATGTAGAAGAGGGAGCAGATCTCTTCTCTCTTGCTCCGGATTGCAAGACTAGCTCTAATGGGTGGGAATTACAAGGGAGTCGTTACCGGCTAAATATCAGGAGAAACTTCCTAACTGTAAGAGTGGTTGAGCCGTGGAACAGTCTGCCTCTGGAGGTGGTGGAGGCTCTTTCACTGGAGGTTTTCAAGCGGAGGCTGGACGACCATCTTTCGGGTCTGTTGTAGGGCTCTCTTTCGGCTGTGCTCCTGCAGAGTGCAGGGGGTTGGACTACATGACCTGCAAGGTCCCTTCCGACTCTAACATTCTATGATTCTAAGCGTGGTTGAGCCGTGGAACAAACTGCCTCGGGAGGTGGTGGATGTTCCTTCACTGGACGTTTCCAAGCGGAGGCTGGACGACCATCATTCGGGTATGTTGTAGGGCTCTCTTTCGGCTATGCTCCTGCAGAGTGCAGGGGGTTGGACTAGATGACCTACAAGGTCCCTTCCGACTCTAACATTCTATGATTCTATAATCCTAGAAGAGTTAACAAACAGATGCAAGAGCAGGTGTCGTGAGGTATCGGGTTCTTATCTCACTACCCATGCTCTGTCACTCGGTTCCCATGTCTGTTCACCCTTTCATGATCTGTATGTTAATTTGCCGCCGTTCACAGGTCTTGCCAACTGCTTCAACCCAATCTTAGCTATACTCACGGCTCAGTTACTTACGCATCTTGACTCTAACCGGCTCTTCCTGGCAAGTAACCCCCTCCACACACCTGTGTGTAATGGTCGGTGACTTCTGTTTCAATGTATCTGAGGAAGAGTGCCTCCCAGTGTTCCCTCTAAGCTGAGTGAGTGTGAGCCAGCTCACAGTTTTTTAGCCTCCGGCTCACACATTTTTGTCCGAGCTCAGGAAGTCGCTCACAACTTTAATGCCAGTAGCTGACAAAGTGGACTCGCTCACAAGATTCCACAGCTTAGAGGGAGCGTCGGTGGCTGCACACAAAAGCGGACTTCCCAAATTAAACTCCGTTGGACTTAGAGACACCACTGGACTCAAACTTTGTCCTATCCTCAAATATTGGGGAAACTTGATATTCAAAACCAAATCCGTTTGCATCACATACTCTTAAGCGCAGAATCTTTTTTTTTTCCTTTGCAAAAAAATTTTATTTTCCAAAACTACAAGAAAATAAGGAAAGGGAAACTATAAACCACAGGAGAAAGTAAAGATAAAGCACTAAAAACCCAAGAGGTGGTGGTCATATAATGATTACAATAAAATAGCTTTAAGTAAAAAATAATTTGTTACATTGTAGGTGATCGTTAAAATCGCTTAGATAAATTCAAGTCCAGTTATTCTGACTTAAAGTTAAAGGTTCCCTTGCTCGAAAGCCAGTCGAGTCCGACTCTAGGGTTGCGGTGCTCATCTCCGTCTCCAAGCCGAAGAGCCAGCGCTGTCCGAAGACGTTTCCGTGGTCATGTGGCCGGCATGACTAAACGCCAAGGCCCACGGAACGCTGTTCTGACTTAGTAAAGAGCAATACAGAAGAACGATTAAATATTAAGAAGCTAAAACCGAACTTCAGAGAAAATTGGCATCTCATTGGGCCGCTTCTTTCCCTCAATCGATATCCTTGCTTGGGG